TCACTTCACAACAAAAAATCAGCTGAGGAAAACAAGCGCCATTTGTCTCTGTAACCAGGTCACATGGTAGGAAAAAAGCAGTGGATCAAGTGCTCTCTGACCTATTTATATAATCTTCAGAGAAACAGTGTAGTCCCTTGGAAACCACAAAGATCTCAAAGAGAATACTAAAGTGTACTCATATCTCTAAACAAAACCTTTTTTTAACAGTAAATAAAAGGGATTTGCTCATTTATTTTACAAAGCTTGTTTTATGATTCAAATAGCACATGGCTCAGTTAGAATTGAAGCTCTTGCTGTTGAGCTTCCCCGTCAGCTAATCGTGAACGGCAGATTAGAGTCAGTGAATGACTCATCATTTAAATATGCACTGTGGGAGGAGGGGAAGTAGTGAGCCAGCACTGGCATTGTGCATGCTAAGAGTTTTCACATGTTTGAGCAATGCACAGTTTGAGCACTATTTCTGGGCAAGAAAAGGTTCTTCTTGCACAGCCTCCAAAATGATTCTTGCAGGGAATGACATTTTGTAATTTAATTAAATGCAAATACATTTTTCGCCCCTTTTGCTCAAAAAGAAATATGCCTGTTCTTCATACTCTGTTGAACTACTATTGATCCCTCTCCCATCTTCAGTTTGTGATCGGAGACCACAGTTTATTTGCCAAATATGTGAACATCTTGTTCTCCCTCTGTCTTAGGTATCATAAATTCAAGCATACTAAATCTTTTCTATTGTAGTTTTAATATAATGAAACAATAATGTATTAACACTATAAAAACCACAAACTAAACTTGCATTTTTATTTTTATTTTGCATATATGTATCTATTGGACCTAGAATATACCCTGTTTTGTAAAACATTGAATAAAATAGTTATTTGTCGACCCATGATTTCATAAATAGTTAAGCAGATAATGAATGGAGAGTAACCAAAGGAAAAGCACATCAAAATGCATAATAAACTCTTTGAATCAAATACAGATGTTTCAGCCAGAGTTCATGTTAGTGTAGGAAATCTAGCTGAATGTTCCCGTGGAATAAATAGGGGGTTGGGTGAGAGCATAACAGGAAGCCACAACATTTTCATTACAGCAGGGCTTCCTCCCTCTCTTCCTCGCTCCCTCCGCCCCCTTAGTGCCAGACAAGCAGAGCGCTGCAGCAGGAGCCACAGAAGATTGGCTTGCCAACCTGCTAGCAGTCACAATGGAAGCAGTGGTTTACTTCTTAACCCCCCCTTTGGAAAACAGAAAGAAGCCTGCAACCTTGGTACAAATTCTGCTGCCAATACAGGATCTTTTTGCCCTTTAAAAATAATTACTGGGGAAAGGTGTTCGTTAAAACAGCCATTTTGAATTTTGCGCTTTTAACCTGTTAGATATGAAACCAGCCATTTTGAGCAGACTTACAGTGGTGCCTCGCAAGACGAAATTAATTCGTTCCGCGAGTTTTTCGTCTTGCGATTTTTTTCGTCTTGCGAAGCACGGTGTCGGGAAAGTTTTGGAAAAGCTTCAAAAATCACCAAAGTCTTTTAAGAACCTCAAAAAAGGCTACCACACCGCGTTCTATGAGTTGCTCCTCGAAGTCAAGTCGCAACTGTATTAACACTGTTAAGAAAAAGGAAACAAACTTGCAAGACGTTTCCGTCTTGCGAAGCAAGCCCATAGGGAAAATCGTCTTGCGAAGCAGCTCAAAAAACAAAAAACCCTTTCGTCTAGCGAGTTTTTTGTCTTGCGAGGCATTCGTCTTGCGAGGTACCACTGTATATCCATTTTGTGATGGCGTAATGTCATTCTCAGTGCTTTTCTCTGGGGGTACTCAAGGGTATGCTGTACCAGCACCTCCCCCTCCCCCCAAATTAAAAGTGTGGCACTTACTGTAACAACTTCATCGGTGAGTACTGGCACCTTTTTTCCTAAAAAATAAAAAAGCACTGGTTACCATGCACTCTTCCCTCGGAATCATAGTCAAAATTATCAGTTAGTCTTTAAAACTAAATCATTTTAACATTTCTGTCACAGAGATTAATAAAGGGGTAGAGTGGTCCTGGGATTAATTCCATTTACTTCCATAAGCAATCAAAACAGTTAGTTGAACTAAAATGTTCTTCCATCCTCTTACATTGCTAACCCATCACCCGCTCCCATGTTTTCAGACTTCCACATCCCTACACCGTTGAAGCTACGTACCTCAGATCTTGGATGCTGTTGCACTCTGAACTGCCTGACACCCTGCAGGTCTAAACACCATAGACAATGCTTCTTCTGAAGAGAACTAACTTTTTAATAAATAACTATGCAGAATGCCCTTTAGGCCAAAGATTCAAATGGAAAGATTTCCGCAACAATTTAAACTACCACATCGAGTAGCTGCGCAGTACAGCATAGGTACTGTTCCCGACAGCGTACAAATATGCTGTCCTCTTCGCTCTCTCCTCTTCTTCCACTGTTTTAATTTACAGTGTGCTGTGGTGGATGGTAGCTTTGAAAAAAGCAAGCATCTTTCCTGCCAGTTGCTTCCCAGGCTTTGAAGTGAATGGAAGTCTGGATGAGTCCCAAATGTATAAAATCCTTTCACATATTCGTTAAGTGTCTCTTTGGTCGAGGCCATTGAACGTGAATCGGTTTAACTGGTTGAATGCTTAAATATAATCCTGATATTTTAACTTCAAATCCCTTCCAGTTTAAATTCAACAAATACTTTATTCAAATCGTTGCAGTATTTGGGGTGAGTGTGATTCTGGCTAAAGTTCAGGGCTAGGTTGACTTCCTGGTGGAAACAGAAACAGACACAAGGGCCGAAACCAAGAGACAACTACTGAGGTGTATATACCGTAGGTCTGATAGAACATGTGATGCTGTTCATCTGGAGTTTGGATGTGTTCAAACATGTACATGGTGGTGAGTAGTGAGGTGCATAATGATCCTCTCAGAACCCTCTCAAACATTATGGGAGTGAAAGTTAATTAGTTGAAGAGCCTTTGTCTTTACAATGTGGATATAAGTCAGTAGATGAAGCCTGTTTAGCTAGTCCATCAGCATTTCTTCAGTTCAAAATATGCCCCTGTTCAAAATTAGCTGTCAACCAGGGATTTGTTTTTTGTCTAATCGACACACAAAAACTCTAATAAGAGAAATCTGTAGCTGTTAAAATATCAGGGCCCTAATTATCCTATGCAAATTGCCATTGGAAGGCTCTCTGATTTGATAGCTCCAATAATCTATTATGGAAAAGTGGACGGGGACATCAAATTTGTTGTTATTGCTGTTGTTTCTATATCACCCTTGAGGATCACAGCATGGTGTATAATATAAAACCATAAAAAATAACATAGTAACAAACAAAAATAATAACCCTCACATGTTTGGATTGTAATGTAGTCCCAATCAAGTAAAAAGGATCAAAGTGTGTGTCCTGAAGTGCTGAAGGGCAGTACTTTTTGTCTAAAAAAATGTTTAGGGGTACTGTACTCTCATTTTGACTCAATAAAATCACCATTTTATAGTTCAAATTGGGGAAATAAATACAGTAAATGGACAAAAGTACAAAGATTCACTGAACGTTTAGGGGTATGCGTACCCCCAGAAAAAACCACTGCTGAAGGGTATGTGTGTTTCAGTAAGGAGAACCACCTGTTTCTGTGTGATTATAGCAGGAAGCATGTTGCCTTTTTAAAACTGGAGCCCAGCAGCTCTTTACAAATCATGTTATCACAGCAATTAATTCTGTTTCAGGATTATGAGTCCTTGAAACCAATATGGTTCAGTGCATAGTATAAAGTAAATTAATGGCACTTTCACCAGTGCAAACATTTTTGTCTCCCTCTGTCCTTGTATCCTTATAATAAAGTTTTTTTAAAAGATTCTGCTGAATAGAATGTGTATACCTGATTTAAAAAGTTACTCTCTTGTGCTTTCTATCATATACTAATATTCGCAAGCAATACTAGTCCAAGCTGCACATACACCTTGAAATATAGAGATAATCATAGTGATGTTGAAAAGTTGTAACACAGACGCTAACATTTAGACTCTTAAGGTCCTGGTTTAAGTAAATTACCATATTTTCCGTCTATAAAATGCCCCCATGTATAAGACGCCTCCTATTTTTGGGGACTCATATTTAAGTAAATGGGGGGAGATGGCCCCGTGTATAAGACGCCCCCTAATTTTTGACATATTTTATAAAACCTAGTTTTATATACGAAAAAATACAGTACGCACTGTTCAGCCCTTTTAGGGGGAAAGCTTAAATCATTCCAAGCAGTTGTGTGGGGAGTGGGGAGCAGGAGGAGCTGAATCTAGCACTCCCCACTCCATCCTGAACAAATAGGATTTCTATATTTTTTTCTAAATGGCTACATGCATATAGCTGCAGATGCTGGACTGAGCTGGGAAATTGCCCATGTAACTTCCGTTTGCAAGAGTGACTTCCCATCCAGCTGGGGATTCACACTGATAAAATGGTTTCTATGCAGTCATAGCTCCTAGCTTGAGTATAACAAATGTTTTCATGTTATTTTTTCTTTGGTGATTTTTTAAAAAATATATTAATCTACAGAGAGCTACACATTTTATTTGTATTTAAGGAGTGTTTGTTAAGATGGTTTAGATGATTAAAAGCACAATGCATTGCTTCTTTATTCAGAAGTTCACTGGAGCTTATTCCCTTACAGGTGTGTTTAGGATTGCAAACTAATAAATCAAACCTTTGCTCACAAAGAAACACAGATATTGAGCTTACGTACTTGGCATAACCAAATATGAATGTAATGCTCAGTAATTATATATATATGGACGCGGGTGGCGCTGTGGTCTAAACCACTGAGCTTGCCAATCAGAAGGTCAGCGGTTCAAATCCCCACGACAGGGTAAGCTCCCGTTGCTTGGTCCCAGTTCCTGTCAACCTAGCAGGAGCTAGGTTTGAAAGCACGCCAAAAAAAGTGCAAGTAGATAAACAGGTACTGCTCCGGCGGGAAGGTAAACAGTATTTCCATGCGCTGCTCTGGTTTCAGTGTTCCGTTGCACCAGAAGCGGCTTAGTCATGCTGGCCACATGACCCGGAAAAACTGTCTGCAGGTCAGTAAAACATCATTCAGCCGGCCTGCATAGAATGCTATGGATAAATAGTCAATGGAAAAGAGGTTCAGAACTAGGTGCTAACTGAAGGAATCAACAGAAGATGGCAGTTTGAAATGACAGAGTGACAGTTGGGACAGTGGTATTAACATTAGAAAGCTTAAGTATATGGATTATTTTTAACTCCATGTATTATATGGCGATACTAGGTAATTAAAACAATAAGATTTTTTTATCACAAAGAGTAAGAGGTAACATGGTGAGTTTTGGACCAATTTATCTTGGTGTAGTAGCTATGGAGATAATATCAAATTATTCATCCAGCAGGATGTAGTCATAGCTATTTGTCTATTTGTACATTGCTGTTTTAACTGTTGTTTTTATTGTGATGCTATCTACCCATCTCTGGGACATTTTGTGACAGCCTAGAAATAAATAGGCTTAATAAAATAATTAAATATAAATATTAGCCTATAGTAGAAAGAACAGAGACAATTATAAATGCAAATATTTTAGTTGCTTCAGATTATAGTGGCTTCATGAGGGAAATGCAGTGTTGTAGTAGTACCTCAGGATTGTTTCTGTTCAAAGCCTTTTGCCACATATGGAGATCCAATCATTTTGTACTAGAAAGATGTGATATTTGATGTCAAAATCACATCTTTCTGCAATATTTTTCCATGCTTTAGACAGCATCTCAGTGTAGCGTGGGCCAGCTGCCAGCCAATGAGTCAAAATCACTAACAGAAATTTTCCATGTAGAAAACTACGGTATTTTGCCAGCCTGATTAATACTGAGGGATGGAGACATGGAATCAGGAGTGTTTGAATGTGGGAGGAACTTAAGGCAAGTGAACGTAAGGCCCAAATTGGGGGAAATGAATATGGTATTTGAGAAGAGCAGCATTGATTGGTGCAGTGTCTGGAAGGTTTGATGACAGTGAGTGGAACCTCCATTATCAAATTTGATAATAGATGTGCCACAAATCAGGCTCATGTGATTGATAAGGTTAGACTACCTTCCTTATCAGCCCCCTCCCCCCAGCTATAATAAAAGCAGAGAAATTGGGATAGTGGACATCTACCACAGATTTTGTCAGACATAACATTTTGGGGGTTGAATGGAAAGCACTGCTTTAATTCTGTTATGGGTTTGCAGGAGGCAAGGATCCCCTAAAAGTCCTGGGTGCCAGGTTCTCCCCATAGTTTTTTAAATTAGTAAATGTGGAGTTTGAAGTTGCCAGCTCCCTCAGGAGATTGGCTTAAAGAGGTGCCATCAAAAAACAAAGGCAACTGCCCTGCCAAAGGTGAGACATTCAGCATCAGACAAGAAAGGGGGAGGCTACCAGGATTGCAGGGACTGTGATGTGACCACAGGAAAAAGTGCTTTTCACAGGAGGCTTTTGAAATGGAGGTTGCCAGGGTAACAGAGGGGATGCTGGAAGCAGAAGAGGAGGTGGTGTTTTCTGCAAAAGCTGCTGGGAAGAATAAAAGTAGGAAGAACTACATGCACACTGGCTGGGAGAGGTTGCACTGGGAGACTGAGGGCCATTACAGGCTGCTGCTTTGAATCCAAGCTTGCTGAAGCTATGAGTGAAGCAACAAGAGACACTATTAGGGTGCAATGTTGTGCAACCCCTCAGGTGTAAATATGTGTAAAATAAACAATAGTTTTTAAAGACACTAGTCTCCACTGTGCCTGGTAAAGTGCCAAGAGTTCTGGAATCTTGCTACCACTGGGCAAGATTAGGGTATATATAGAAAGTACAAGATATAGGTAGCTTGTTGATGTAATTTGAATAAGGTGTGAAATTGCACTAATTGCTTGATCTATGTCTTGAGCTAGCATGCCCCCCACGTTTGGATCTTGTTATCTTGTTTAGAGATAGAACACCAGGTGTACTGGGTAGCATAGCAATATTACAAGGCCAAAAGTCTGACTTGCTGACTCATCTACCCTCATTTTATCTCAGGAATGTGCATACATGCAGAGATGGGTATAAAAGTCAAGGTTGCATTGCATTCTCTTATCTGGGGGTGACAGGGGGAGAGTCTGGGAGCCCCTGTGTTAGGTGTACACAGCAGTGTGAGCTAGCATGGTAAAGTGCTAGTGGATCTCTCTGTATGCTTGTTTCTTTACTTCTAAGACCAGAAGAACAGTATTATAGCAGTTAGTAGATTTGTCTTGTCTCTTGAGACAATAAACACTTTATACTTTAATCTCAGCTGAGTAGGGTAGGAGGTTTTTTGAGTGGGAACTCTGGAGAAAACTGACTACTGGAAATCAGGAAAACTCTGATGTTCTGCTGGAAGGCTTTGCTGGAGTTGAGCAAACTCTGCTGGTCACACTGGTTGAAGTGTGGTAAAGTATCAATAGACGGTGGGTCCGTGTCTGACAGGTTATGGGCCAACTGACTTTCAGAAATAATAACAGGTTATGGGCCCAGGACACATCTGCGAGAGCCTGAGTCAGCCAGCAAGAGTCTGGAGTGCTCCAGTTGCAGCTTCTCAAGTTCTGTTTGCTGGTCTGGTCTACAAGAAGGTGAGAGCATAGTGGCCTATTGGTGAAGTATGTGGTGGTATCACTATGGCTCAAGGAATGCACTCCGGTTGTCACTTGAGAGACTGAATAGTTCAAACTACTCAAACTGGAGTTATAAAATGGAGATATTCCTGGAGAGAGAGGGAATTTGGACTCTTGTTACTGAACCCCCAGATGATGAAGAAGCCTGGGCATGCCAGGATGAGAAGGTTCGGGTAATCACAGCCTTGGGTGTTGAAGACTCACAGATATAAATCATTTGGTTCCTGCCAAGAGCCAAACATATGTGGACTGCCTTGCAGGATGTTTCATCAGCTTGTATATTAGTTTCAGTAGAAACAATTATCTCTAAATTCTGTTGACCCATATCAGCTGGGGGTGAGATAAAACCTTCATAGTCTAAAGTTACCTCCTATGTAGAATTAAACTATTTCTTAGTAATATAACTGTTTTTGTATCTTCATTTTGTATCTTATGATTTATGTGGAAATGGTTCTATTTGGTTGCTACTTTCTGATGTTTTGTTTATTTTTTATGACTACTACTTTTGTTATGTTTGCAGTTATATAGTTTTGTATATGTTGTAAGCTGCATTGAGCATAAGGGGGCATACAAATGTAATGATTCATTGATCTTAAAAATTACTCTGCTAATGTCAATACAGATAAAATGTATAATTATTACCCCCACAAGGTGGGTGTCTGTTGGTGACTTGTGAAAGTCAGTTGGTAGTTCACCACACCTCAGTGTGTTGTATCAGCAGAGTATGAGGAGCCCCAGCAGTTTTCAGAGAGTTTTCAGAGTTTCCTGCTTCCAGCAGAACAGTTTCTTCCAGAGTCCCCATTTAAGGGGAAAATTTCTCTCCCACAAAGTTCAAAGTAGCAAAGTGTTTATTGTCTCCAAACACAATATAAAGCTAAATGCTACTATCTACTATAAGAAGTTCTTATGGTCTTTGAGGTAAAGATATATATGTACAGAGATCCACTAACACTATTACCATGCTAGCTAATGCTGCTATGTAAAACCCACAGTCTCTTCCCCTGACTCTCACAATTCAGAGTCAGACCCTGACAGCAAATAGGACAGGAAAGGGACAAGACCAGGATAGGACAAAACATAATGAAAGCAATAACCTAGAGACTATTATACCCATCTCTACATGTAGGCATATTTCCTGAACCAATAGGAGTGTATGACTCAGCAACTCATACACTCAACCTTATCCTAGACCATCCAGACATGGGGGATGTGCTCATCAATGAATGAGACCAAGTACTGCGTAATTTAGCTCACTGTATAGGGTGAGAGAATCTGTATTGGAAAGAGAGATTCTTACTCTCTTGTAGCAGAGTCAGTACAATGGTGATTGCTCCATGCACAATAAAACTTGGTTAGATTTATATCTGCCTTTATCCACTTTAAACAAATGTTCCCCACAAAAATACTTAGGCTAGAATAAATCACAGACACTTAGCATAGCTAGTAAGTGAATATTTTACTCACAGAGTTTTCAGACGTTAGAAGAAACAAGTCTCCATCTGTGGGCAGAAAAAAATTGAATAAGATAAAGGTTCCAAATGTCTTAAGAAAGTAACTTGGTCAAAAAGGATACTGCAAACTTTGGGCTAGCAAAGATGCAGGCTATAAAATCTCATTTTAGAGGGAGAACCAAACAAACAAATACATTATGAATGACACCTGGCTTTATAACAGTACCCATGAGAAGGATCCAAGGGTTTTAGTAGACCACAAGCTAAACAAACATGAGTTAGCAGTGTGATACAGCAGCTAAAAAGGTTAGTGCAATTCTTGGTTGATTCAACAGAGGTATATTGACCACATCACACAATGCAATGGTACCAATCTGTTCTGCTTTTGTCAGACCTTACCTGGAGTATCATGGCCAGTTCGGAGCACTGCAGTTTAAGATTACTGGAATGTATACAGAGGAGGATGACAAAGATCATGAAGACCCGGAGACTACATCCTATGGGGAAAGGTTGAAAGAGTTGGGTATATATAGCATAGAGAAGGGTTGATTTAGAGGCACTATACAGGTTGTGACCATTTTGCGTGCATCCAATTGACGTGACTGCCAACACATGGGTCCTTTTGGACCCAGAAGTGGGCGGAATGGGGGACAGAACAGGTGAAGCAGGTGTAGGGCAGGCTTATGTGCACTCTGCTGACATGCATGGGGGCTAGGAATGGATGCTCTGTGCAAAATTGTTGCCACCTGTAATAGCCATATTTGCATAGTTGAAGAGCTGTTACATAGATTTCTGTTGTTCCAGGGAGTGGGGCCTGAACCATTTGGTTCAAACTACAAGAAACAGAATTTAGGTTAACATTCAGAAGAACTTCTATTTGTCAGTGGGACAGAAGTTCTTAAGCAGATGTTGAATGGTAACCATCGGGGATTTCCTGCATCAGTACGGGGTTGGACTAAATGACCTTTTGAGGTATTTTCCTGCAAACACTCTGATTCTATTAATCAAAACCAGATTTTGCAAGACAGTTTCAAGCACTTTGCTCATATGTTAAATCCAGGATACAGGCAGTATTATTATAATGATATTGTAGCTTCTTCATAAAATGACAATGTGACACGAGCTAATTCTTAGTTAAACTTATTTGCTTTTTCTTTGAAAAGTTGTTCATGATTCCAGCAAGTCAATGGACTGAAAGTAATCTTTGTAATGTCTTAATAATACTGTTGCTTCCTTAGGTATGGAGAAACCTGTACATAGTGAAAGCACAGTTAGATTAACACAAAGGAAAGAGGAAAACAACCAGGCTAAATCAGTGATTGATGGTATCTGATAATGCTTCAGGGAAGAAACAGTGAGGAGGAGGAGAATGTATTAACCCATCCCCTGCCTGCTGATACTTCCTGCCAAGTTTCCTTCCTCTGGCTATTTTGAGCCCATTTCCCCCTGACTGAGTTCTGAGACCAGAATAAGCCTAGCTAGGGAGAAGCAGTTGATGTGTTGGGGTGTGTGTGTGTAAATGAGTAGGAGAACTGGTTGGCATGGGAAGGGTTAAACACCTCACCTTCCCACTTTTTTAATTCTCCCCTATTCTTGTATTCATATAACCTCATCAAACATGAAACACATGTTTCTCAAGGTAATATGTAGCTCCATCCTTGGATGCTAGGGAAAAAATTCAAAATAGCTGTGGAATATCACACTTCAATTTTTTATTCATTCATGATGTAAAAATTATAGTCTTGAATATGTGGGATGTGTGTGTGCATGTGTGTGTGGGTGCACATATCTTTCATTTGAGATTCTTATTTTTGTATATTTAAAATAAAGTTTTACCACTGTCTTGTGACTATTCGTTTTTTCCAGAGGCAATTTTGACTTTCAGTAGTTGTGGGCAATTGTTAAAACTTGAAACAACAGAGAAGGCATATCCAAGGGTAACACAAGAATATTTGCATAATTTTACTTTTGAAACAAAAAGGAGGCACAGTCTGAGGAAAGATTTTGATTTTGTTAAGAATGGGCTAGACAGAACATGCATCTTCCCATACCAGTGAATCATATGTATTATTTTACAATATATAAAGGATAGTTTACAAGCAGAAACTTGTCTTTAGAACAGGATATTTACATTATGGCACAAATGAACAATTGAAGAATAAAAATAATAGACCCTTAACTTTCTAGATAATCAACACTAATGTACTTTGCAGTGTTTTTAAAGTTATATTAGTATTTTTTATCAAGAAGCGCATGCATCACTCTAAGGTATGTATATTTTGTGTTGTCCATATATTTGTGTTGGTGGAGCTGTAAAGATATGCTTCTAATTCTGGTATTGCACACACATTTCTTGTGCATGATGCAATATGACCTTTGTTCTGCACATGGCCATTCTGCCTGCCTCAGTGCTTGGGGGGGGGATATCACACACTGATGTTTAACCTCATTACTTTGTTTTTATGTGAAGCTATGGGAGCTGTGCAGCCTGTATGTTGTTCACACATGACTATATGTGAAGGTGGGGTTTTCTGTGAAATGTATTTGTGGCAGGCTCTCTCCTTTTGGTGTCTGTACAGCACATTTCTATTGTGAATGCGTGTGAGAGTCAAAAGGAAAATGCTCCCCTCCCCCCCCACCTTTCCCACATTCACTCTGTGCTCACAGACAAGCTGGCACCCCTCCCCCACACTTTGGTTCCACACCAGCTGCTCTCCCTGAAAACCGATACTTGAGAGGCCTCTTTTCCCCCTAAACCAGTTCTAGCTGGAAGACGGAGAGAAACAAAACCCAGGTTGGATTCTGAGCTGGAGCAGCTCTGGCTGCCCTTCCTGCAGGCAAAAACTCCATCTCCAGGCATAAAGCCTGTCCACAGCTTCCATGCAACCCTGCTGCTACTGGCACTTGCTCTGAGCTCTGGCTCCAGTAGCATATTCTAGCAGGGATTGCTGCTCCTGGATCTTCTGGGAGTGATCCAGTCCAGAGATTCCAGTCAGCTTTGGTGCGGCAGAACCTCAGCCTAAACAACAGTTGATGTCTCATTCCAGCTCAGTCTCAACCAGTCTCAACCGGCTCAAACCGGCCCTGGCCTGCTAGAGTGGCAGCTGAGTCTGAGCCGCCTCTTTTCCTCCCATGAATTTTCACTGCCCCACCCATAGAGAAATAACACTGAGGAGAAGCTTTATTTCTGTTTTTATGTGGGGGGTTCGGTGCTGCCCTCGAACTACTTCGAAGCCCACCCCAATAATATGCAGAGATGCAGAATCCCCCACTACTCCTCTGAATAAAGTCATTGTTTTAACCCACACGACCCTTGTGAGCAGGGGATACCCTGACGCCTGTCTTTTTCCCTCCAAAATCTTTGGAGGAATACTTCCCCACAAGCACAAGTGCTTCTCCCCCCAAACTTCCCATAAAGCTGACCATGGTAGAGGATACTGAATCTTCCACCGAGGGGGCGGTTACTGGTGTTTACTGGCCCCTCTCTCCAGTGCATGTAATTTTTTGGTCCTTCAATGTTCCTGATAAATGATAGCATGCTATCTCATCTGCAGCGCCCCCACAGCCCACAACACTAGCCACCACAGACCCCCTTAGTAATAAAAACCTAATTAAAGGATTTCCAGTGCCAGATTATATGGCATGTTTCCAGCAAGATATCCATTCTTACATAAGCAGCCAGATGGGGAAGGCCATAGTGCCCTCTATCCTTGCATAACTTTAGAGGAAAAAGCTCTTAGCAGAACATTAAATAATGAGGCGGACTACAGTCTATGCTTTTCCTCTGGTAATATGTTCCTCTCTTGGAGGATGGCAGGAAATGAAAGTGCTTACTATTTCTGCACAAGAAATCCAGCAATGACATCCTCCTGAGAGAAATGTCGCACCTCCTTAAACAAAAAATATCAGCTTTCCTCCCATATTGCTTTGCTTCAAAGTAACCCGGAGTCCAGGAGGTCATTTACACAAACTATTACCCTGAGATAGCAACCGCTTAATTTCTTCCCATCTCAGATCTCTTTGTATTATCAAAGGGTGTATCAGAGATTGAAGTGGGTTTGAAAGCAAAGGAACAGCTCCTGGGTGTCTCACCTCTCTTGTCCTTGTGAAAGCATGTACACTCAATACCTGTATAAGTGAGAAGGGGCTGGGTGAAATTTCCCTCCTCTGTTAGCTGATGTCTATGTGTTGTGCTCCTTTAGGGTTGTTACACTGACATTTGAGACAGCAAACGGGTATGCTGAGGTGAATTTGTTGACTCAGGGAAGCTATGTCAAATTAGCCACGTTTATAACAAAGGGTGGGTGGGTGGGTGTGCACATGATCATGTAAATGAGCCCCAAGCTAGAACTGACAGACCCTCAGAGACCAAATTGGGGGGGGGGGATCGTATTTACCTCTCCACAGATCATCAGGCTGCTTCACCGCCCTTTCAACAATTTATACTCACAGCACCCCTTTGAGGTAGGAAATAGTTACTACATGATTTTACTGAGACCTGAGAGATGCCTATAATGTGGTTAATGTGCTACAACACACAGCCTTTTGCATGCATTGCAGATTTCCTATATTAATTACCTGAAGCAGACCTAATCTGTATAGAACCAATCGTATGTGCACCTGAATTGCTGATGTACAATTAATTAGATGTCGGAATTTGATTACTCGTAAAAAAATAATGTTTGTTCCCACACGGACATAAAGAAAATTTGTGGCAGAACAAGACACAAAATATAGACTTCCCAAAATCAAGGTTACAACCTCATACCTGCAACACTATTCCTGCTCTGGAGAAAATAACAAAATATGTGGTTGTGATTGTATTGTAGCATATAAGAAAAAATATATATCAGAGACCCAAACTGGCTGAATGCCCACATCCGCACTAAACCAAGGAACTGATGTTCTGTATTGTTGTTGTTGGCATCCATCTGTCTCAAGAGGCAATGGAGGTGAAGTCAAACTGCTAGGGTGCAAGCCTGGGCAGTGTGTATGAAGGCAGTGTGTATGAGGTTTCAAAGCTGATAGTAAAGGGTTGCCATACACCTGGAATTTCACTGTAATGTCTGGGAAAATCTGGACGTGTGGCAACCCATGTTGGAAGTATAGAATTTGGCTTCAAAAAAGCTCAGAAACTTCTATTTTTTTGCAGAAAAGGAGGAGGGATTTAGTGTTACTATATCAGTTCTTCAGGAAATCACAAATCACGAAATCACACCATATGTAGCACAGGCAAAAATTCCACTAGGATTGGAAGGCTGGATTTCAGTCTATATAGAAAGAGAAAGGGCAGTGAATGCTATGAAATTAGGGTTCAAGAAGTGCAGGAAAGGGAGTCCTTCCTATTAGGGTGGGAAAAGGGAAGTGGAAGTGGAACCCCATAATAAATGTTTATGGTGTATAAAATCTTATGATTTTAAGTTCTCAATTTAAGTTCTGGGGTTTATAACCCTTGCATGTAAAACTCTATTCAGATTTTGTCAGTACAGAACAAGGAAGGGATAATATCCTAATTTTACTTTAATCAACTCTGCAGAAAGCATATTAAGATATTTGTATCTGGGTCTCACAGTATTATTTTCACACATTTAGAAAAATAAAACTTAAAATTACAAGTGTGAAGTAATTTCGCTAATGGCGGGAGGTGCCATTAGCGGAAGTGTGCCTCATGTTATGAAACAGACCTCCGAGAATGGATTAAGTTTGTAACTGGAGGTACCACCAGTGGTACCTCAGGTTACAAACACCTTGGGTTACAAACACTTTGGGTTACAGACTCCGCTAACCTGGAAGTAGTACCTCAGGTTAAGAACTTTACCTCAGGATGAGAACAGAATTGCGGGTGGCTGTGCAGCAGCATGGAGGCCCCTTAGCTAATGGTACCTCAGTTAAGACGGTTCAGGTTAAGAAGGACTCCATGATTAAGTTCGTAACCGAGATACCCTGTAAAGGGGAAAGTCATCATATTCACCCATAAGCAACAGACAGAGAACGTATTTAGAATATCACACTCTTATAGACTTTCAGCATTCAGACTATCACTACATCACCACAACATCTACAATATCCTTTAAGGTTACTATATTCCATATTGCTGATGAGTGCAGTGGTTGGACGGGTGCGCTGTGGGTAAAGCCTCAGGCTAGGCTGTGATCGAATAGGTCGCGG